ACATACGTAAAGATGTTACACAGAAAAATTACACAGAAACATCGGAAATCAGTTTTTGGCACAACACCGGCTAAAACTCTGTGGCTGGACCTTTAGAGAGGTGTGCATAAACGAAAGCCTTCCAACCTCAATGAACTAGGGCAACTTTATAAAGTTCCTCGACAATGCGAGTCTGAATGATACAGAAACCATTACTCCAGGTTTTTGCTCCTGAATCCGAGGGTGCAGACCTGTGAAAACTTTCTTTAATGATTGTATATCGTACCTTTCATTTAGTCACACTTTTCAGATCTTCATTTTTTTTTCTCGAAATAGGCATGCCAAGTTATCATTATTATTGCCAACATAATATCGGCTTTATAACAGCTATTTAAAAATACTCTTTAACTTGCATCACTAACGTTCACTTACTGTATGCTGGTTTTGTCCACAGGCTGATGTTTAGAAATAAGCTACGGGGATGTTTAAGTGGTGCTGTTAATTTGGCAAACACACAAACGTTAACATTGAATTCACATCCAACACAGTCGTTAGCATGTTTGTTTGACAGTCCGTCTCCCAGCAGCACCCTGAAGATATTCTAAAAGTTGCTAACAAAAATTATCCGCAAAAAATGGACATAATCTCATATTCAGGCTCTGTGTTTGCTTATTCAAACGCCAAATTACATTTCTGCTATAAATCGTGCATCTACCGTTCAACAAGACAAGTGTCCGCACGCTGAATAGCCCCGAAGGAAACATGTCGCCAACTAGACCAAGGTTCCGAAAGTGCAGCCGATACACTCGTTTAATTTGATTTGAAATTGTGGAGAGGACAAACGCACTGCAAAAAACGTAGTGAATTTTTTAATCAGTTTATTTGCAGACCGACGTACAAAAAGCGCGATTGCCTCGTACTTTATTCCCGCGGAACTCGTCACGGGCGGATTTTAAGGTAAAATCAAAGACCGTGACAAATCAAGATAATTCCCAGCCAGGAAAATCCCTATGGAAGTTCCCTCTTTGAGTCTTTCTGTAATTTGGCGATTTCGGTGAATTAACCCAACTGAAACGTTTTCTTTTACAATACGGGGAAAAATATAGTTATTGTTTTAAACAAGAATCGGGTAGTACAGACTTTAGTCAGGGCTGCTATCCAATTATCTATGTGGTTTGGGGTTAGACCACACTATCTTTTGTATTTTTTTTTTCAAATGTATTAATAAACTTACACATTTCCGACCGAAATACAAAGCCTATACAGTACTGTGTAAAAACCACTCCTCATTTCTTCATATTTTGCTGGGTGCAGGAATCTATTGAAATACGTGCAGACATACACAAAAACACAGTATATGAGGCAAAAACAGAGTTTGTAAAATTCCAACCAGGTTGAAAGTCAGTGTTTGGTATGACCACATTTATTCTTCAACACAGCTTAAACTCTCTTAGTATTCTTATAGTTAGTCTTGTAAGGAATAGTTCTCCAGGCTTGTCAAAGGACATTCAAAACTCTTCTTTGGATGTTGGCTGCCCTTTGTTCTGTTCTCTGTCAGGATGATCCCAAACCTATTCAATAATATCGAGGTACGGCTCTGGGGAGGCCAGACCATGACTGATAGTGTTCCTGTGTGTTTTTCTATTTAGATGTCTCACAGCATTAGTATGAGAAATTGAGCTGTTGCCAATTAGATGTTTTCCACATGGTATTACATAGTAAATCAAAATCTGACTCTACTTTACTGTGTTCATAATTCCATCAGTTTTTACAGGATCCCCAAAACCACTGGCAGAAATGCAGCCCCAAACCATTACAGAGTCCCCACCGTGATTTATCATAAAGATGCCTCTAGACCTCTCCTGACCTTTTCTACACATATTGATGACCTGTTCAAATTTGGATTCATGACTCCACCAGACCTGTTGCTGCTGATCTTCAGTCGAGTCTTTGTGTAATTTAGCATACCTTGGTTCTTCCTTAAGAAAATCTTCTGCCACTGATACCATTTTAGTGAACAGTAAATGGATCAACTAAATGGCCAGATGTCAAGTCTCTGATGGATTCC